CNNGNNAGAACTAACCTAGCAACAAAAGACAACTAACCTAGCAGCAAGAAAAAAATAACCTAGCAACAAAACTCAACTAACATAGCAGCTACAAATAACTAACCTAGCAACAACAAACAACTAACCTAGCAAGAAAGAAATAACATAACAAAAGACAAATGGTCAACGGTCAACGCCGGAAGTCAACACCGGAAGTCAACGGTCAACGCCGGAAGTCAACGGTCAACGCCGGAGTCAACGGTCAATGGTCATAATAATATTTAAATAATTAAAAATAAAGAATTAAATAATAAAAATAAAAAAATATTATTTAAATCAAGATCTAAATCTTGTGGCTAGGAATGAGTCTCACGTCCTCACTTTAAATAATGGGATGCATTGGAACCAATTCCTATATATATATATATATTTAAAAATATCAATAAATTAAATAACGGTCCAACCGGTTCAACCACTGGTCGGACCAGTGGACCATTGAACCAGTAGCTTGACCGGTTCGATGACCGGTCCGGTTTTGACAACCTTGCTTTCGCCATAACTCAGAAGCTTGGAAGATAGGGTACCATTTGGCCGACGGTTTGTGAATCTGCTAAGTAAAAGTTTATTTACCTCTTCCCCATTTTCCTACGTGTTTATGGTTTTGATTGACAACTCTTTCCATTAATTTCTATATTTCCATCTCGAAGGAAACTTGTGCTTTCGCCATGACTAGTCCACCAGCTTGGAAGCGATGGTTCGCCCTCATTTGGCGGACGGATTATGGATCTGCTAATGTAAAGGTTTATTTACCTCTTCCTCCATTTTTGGATGTGTTTGTGATTTTGATTGACGAATCTTTAGAATAATTTGTGTATTTCCAGGGCGCTCTTCTCCATTTTCCGATTTAATTCACCGGCGATTTGAGTCCTCCGTATGCTGATTTTGATTTGCTTTTATGTGCTTTTACTTGAGTTACAAAATCATAGTGACCATCTTTTTCTCCTTACTACGAAGATGGATTTATTGAGTTTAGATATTTAAAGTCTGGCTGTCTGGCGTCGGATCTTGGTAGATAGAGTGTGAGAATGAGTAGTTCTTTTGTTGTTTTGTTGATTTTGGATTGAAGTTTCACAATTAGTGAATATGAAGTTTCGTGACTTCGTTTAAAATTTCGCATCACAATTGGACTTGCTTGTATACTGTATACACTTAAGTTATCTTGCCCGAGATATGATCGTAAACATATGTGAAGTTAGATTTTGCGAAAAAAAATGGGAACACTCTTTATATATCTTAATCATACCACTAGATACACATTATGATCAGCTCCTCGTTTTACTTTATATATTTGAGCTGTTTGAATATTGAACTTTTCTTGAAATAACTCGTTCTAAACTAGTTTCCATTAGTCTAAACGAGTCATCACAAGAGCACATCCGCGAACTCTGGATATATGTGTTTCTTGGAGAGCTACGGATAACACTTTTGCCTGAGTAAAATAAAAATAACTCTTGAGACTCTTGTATATTTTTTGATAATTTTTTTTGTATTAATGGAGTTGTAATGGTACTGTGCTCGAGCTTAATTGAAGAAGAGAAATAAAAAGGGGAGAGGTAACAGATAAGAGAGAGAGATTAACATGTTTGTTTATGAAAATTTTTTAAAAAATTTCAACATTTTAACTCAACTATTTTTTTAAACTCAACTTTAACTCAACCACACCATCATCAATATTATCAATATAATTAAATAATATCAACCAATCATTCATACACACAACATCAACCTTAATTCACTATACATCCACTCACATTATTTTAACTAACTATCAAATCAAATCATCTTTCTCTTACTTTTACATCAAATCAATTTTAATTATTTTATTTTAAATATTATTTTAATATACCCACTAATAATCTCACATTTCTCTTCCTAAACCATTTTTCCCTCTCTCTTTCCTCTCATCTCTCTCGATTCACAAACCATTTTCCTTCTCTCTCTCCTTTCATTCTCTCTCGATTCTCAATTCTCTAAAATCGGTGACGACGGCTGAGGTGGGCATTCCACGCTTGTGAGCGGCGGAAACTATTTACAGACTTATGGAGACGACATCTCAGATATGTTACTTGCGGCAACAGAGAGCAACGGGCGGCGATGCATCTTACGACCAGTGAAATTCGCTGGCCCCTATCGGATATCGGCGGTTGTTTGCCAAAATTCTTTATCTCAGATCGACGACTCCTCCACAGCCGGCGGTATATTCCAGCATCGGGGTTCTGCCTGGGTTCTCTCGGTCTTCGCGTTGGTCGGTCGTGTCTGCGCGGCCACCTAGATCTCAGAGCTGGAATCGGTCGCGGCTGATCAATGGGTGCACGCCTTGTGTGATGAATGAAGTAAACAATCTCTCTTCTATCTGTTCTTGTTGCTACCTGGATTGTTCCAGTTGATTCTCTGGAAAGCTCATGGGTTTCCATTTTCATCGCAATGTAGTGGGTGTTAGAATCAACATATAGAAGGGGACAATTAAATCCTATTGCAGGATTTGTGAGTTTCTTTTTCGTTCTCACTTATCTTTTTCGTGGGTCTTTTTGTGCCTTGACAAATTTTCATATGTAAATGTTTAATCTCTTCCAGGATACTGTCTCCAAAAGAGCTGATGTTTGCCGTCTCAAACATGGTGTTTGCCTCAAGGTGAGGATCACGATATTTATGATTTTTCTGAACTTCTTATTTGATGGATTTCTCTTGAGCGTTCATTGTTTTGTTATTGTGCTGTCTACAATTTAGCTATGGTCATTATCAGACAACATTTTAAAGTAAGTGTGCCAGAAATGCTGTTTCTTCACGACTGTTTGGACCAACAGTGGCAAGTTGCAACATAAGGCTTACTGTGAAAAGCATAGCACAAATCAGAGGGAAAAGGTTTCTATAATTTTTGGTTGTTGTCACAATATATTGATATTTACTTATAACTTCACATTGATTTTGTTTTTTATCCATTCCTTCAGGCTGACACTTACAAGCATGGGATTGACGAGTTCAGATCTCTTAAGCAAGTTAGGGTAAGTACTATCTATCATTATTCAAGCCAGTGACAATCATAGCTTTAAATCATTTTCTTGATCTTTAATAATAGTCATAAGTTTCATTGAATTTTAAAGGCCATGAGAGAGTAGATCAATACCAAGATGAAGGTATTCCTGCAGTGGTTTCTGTGATATCTTTTCTTCCTATAAAGCCTATAAACCCAAGATGTGGACTGAAGCGCGGAGTATTCTTTTCACTATGTCGAGACCCATGAACGAGAAAGAGTATCTACCATTCATAAAACCAATATCATGCAGAAAACTGAAGGTCTTTTCCTTAAGGTCTGCTTTTTTGAATATCGTTCCGAATTGATTCTCTTACCTTTGTCGTTTTGGCTGTTCATTTTCTGTCTCATTCTGCAGTGTTGTCGCGAGGTTGCACAGAAACACCCAGATATAAAATATGAAGAAGTTGTGATTGACAACTGCTGAGGATGGTATGAAAGATTTGTCTGCTATGAATACCGATTGCACTTTCTCGGCGAGCTGATATCTTCTTTCTATTAGAGTTACTACTATTCTAACTATAACTTTTATATTATTGAAGGAAAAACTAAATAATATAATGATGAAATTATAATATTCTTTTCCACAATGTGCAGCTTGTGAAGATTCCATCACTTTTTGATATGTTTGTCATGCCAAATCTTTATGGTGGCATAATCAACGACCTATGCACTGGTTTGATTGGAGGTTTGGGCTTAAATCCCAAGTACTTTTCTCTTCCATCATGTCTTTAAATAGTATCCCATTTGTATATAATTAAGTTTCACACTTTCACTTCAATCGTCCCATTTGAGCTCATATTTTTTTTGGGTTAATTTTTTATGCCTATGATTTGAGCTGTACGGTTGTGGCTTGTGGGTTTCCATATTGTTGTGACATACATGTTGAACCAATGTTGAACCAATCTGCTTATGTGACCTACTGTAATACTAATAAAAAACTTGAATTTTTTTGATGGGCTTGCTCTTGAATTGAATGAAATTCTAAATTTCTCATGATTTCTGAGAGTTGTGCATTTAATGAATACTGATTTATTGGAGACAATTTGTATCTATTGTTATTTGTAAATTTTATTTGTCATTTCTCCATTTTGTCGAATAATCGATAACCGAACCGAAAAAACCGATAAATTTTAGGTTTGAAACCGAAACGAATTTTCGGTTCGGTTTTCGGTTTCAATATTGGTCGAATCGATAATTCGGCTAACCGAATTTTCGGTCGGTTCGGTTCTGTTTTAACCGATTGTGCAGGCCTACGTAGGGGCATACTGTAATTCTGGAAATATGCTATTTATCTTATATTGGCAATCTCAGCCTGAAAAAAACTTTGAATGTTCTAATATCTGAAGCAGTCGTCGTCATACTGGTGCCTTTTGCTTCCATCCACGAAAAAGATGTAGAGTGTTCTAAGTTTTGATTTCTAAGCTTCATGTTGTGTGGAATCTTAGCTCTGCAATATGATAATAAATGTTTTCAATCTTGGTGTTCCAGGCATAGGTTGATGGTGCGAAGGAGAAATGTGGACGGGAAATCCGAGTATTTGAAACGTCCCCCTCTGAAGCTAGTAAGTCTAATAGTTTTTTGTATTTCCTGTTGATTTTTAGATAATGATATGATCCATTTTTTTTCGACTCCACACCGAAGGACTACTAATGTGTTCTCAACTGAAAACATATGTGATTAGAATATTGTCTATTTTTGTAGGCACAAATGTGCATTTATAGATTCCAAACAAAATTTATTATCTATCTGTTATTGTAAGTTTCTTTTCGTGAAAATGAAATGCTTTTTGTTAATGCTAATATGAGTTTAGTTTGGTCTGTTTTTACTATTTGTGTTTAGTCTCAAAATATATACACGATGAGTTTAGTTTGGTCTGTTTTTACTATTTGTGTTTAGTCTCAAAATATATACACGATAATTGGCAGGAACTTTCTTTTCGAGTTCAAGTTAAATATCTCATTCACATTCAATCAATTCTCAAAATATAGTTTAACTTTAGCTCAACTCCACTATTTTTAATATTATCACTTATCAATATAATGAAATAATACAAACAAATCATATCAACTTAAATTCATTATTCATCCATTCACACAATTTTAACTATAACTTTACATCACTTTTCTCCTACTTTTACATCAAATCGACTTTAATTGTTTTATTTATAATTATTATTTTAATTTAAATTCAAATCACACTAACATCTACCCATACCTTTTTCAAAATTAACCATAGTTGTCAAAACCGGACCGGACCGGCCGGTCCGACCGGTTGAACCGGGAACCGGCAAGTTAACCGGTCCGGTTCAATGGAAGAAACCGGCTGTGGCCAAAACCGGTCAAAAACCGGTCGGACCGGCCAAAAAATCGGTTGGTTCAACCGGTCATTTTTNAAAAACCAGTTGGTTCAACCGGTCATTTTTTTATTTTGCCAATCGGGTCAAATACTTTTTATGTATAAATTCTAACACTTTTATAAAGCAACTAACCTTTTATGGTTACTAGGACAAGACGTAAGAATTCTAAATTTTTAATTGTAAAGGCAAAGGATTAAAGCCACGTGTGGAAGAAATTTCTTTTCCCTTTTACCTGCGTGTGGAAGGAATTTCTTTTCCCACATCCCATCTTTATTTCCTATTATTTTATTGCCCAATGTGGGAGTGTGAGGAAATATATTTTTTCTTTTTCATATTTTTGTACTATCATGTTATTGCTTAATCTATCTATGGTGGGACCAACCTTTTAAAAAATAAGTCAACTATATTTAATATTTATAGAGTATTATATATTTAAAATATCATTAAGTTAAATAACTTAAAAATTAAGTTAACTATATCTATGAAATATTATATATATATATATATTAAAAAATATCTATAAATTAAATAACGGTCCAACCGGTTCAACCACTGGTCAGACCAGTAAACCATTGAACCAGTAGCTTGACCGGTCCGGTTTTGACAACCTTGAAATTAACCATAACAAAAAAACTCATTTTGAGTAGATTTATTTGTAAACAACCATGCCGTTGTTTAGTTTAAAAATTGTTATACTTTCAGGAGGACGACTCTTTATTTGCAAGGTTGTTCACAGAACCTTGCAGTCTAGGTAACTGACTTATTACTTGCGTTGTTGTTTAGTTAAAAATATATACACATTCACGTTATGAGATTATGTTTTATTTTAGTAGTAGGAGGACCATCAGCTCCACCATGTTTCAAGTTCTCTCAGCAAAGGCTATTGACTGGAGGTGCACCTTGCTACTGTCATGGTAATTAATTTATATAAACAACCTCTGAAAAACACAACCAAGTAAGGTAATTTTTTCACAAAAATCATGTTGTTTTCTTGCTTTAAATCTTAATACATGTAAAATAAATTTAGTGGCTGAAATGAACACCTTAATTACTCACTTTCAGGATGAAAATCATAACAATGCTGAAGCTCAGACGACTCATAAAAAAAAAAGGCAATAACCACATAAAACTTGCTTTCTCTTATTCATTAAGGCTCAAAATACTCTGAATTTCAACACCTTTCAGCCCCGATACTCATGGCATGGCTCAGAAATTGATCACAAAATATATTGTATTATTTTCAGCAGGAGGATCAGTTTACCCTCCGAACCATTTGGAGGCACCATTATGGTGCTTTCGTCAGGGTAAGTTATTGACGTTGTTTATTGCAAGTAGTAAAGTGCAGATACATGATAAGTTCCCTTGAGATGACTTCGTTATCCAAAAGATGTTTAAACTGAAATACATCTTTTGTATAACGAAGTCATCTCAAGAGAACTTATTATGTATCTGCACTTTACTAATTACAATAAACAACGTCAATAACTTACCCTGACGAAAGCACCGTAATGGTGCCTCCAAAAGGTCCGGAGAGTAAGCTGATCCTCTTGCTGAAAATAATACAGTATATTTTGTGATCAATTGCTACCATGTCATGAGTATGAGTATAGGGGCTGAAAAGTGTTGAAATTCAGAGTATTTTGAGCCTTAATGAGTAAGAAAAAGCAAATTTTATATGGTTATTGCCTTCTTTTTTATGAGTGGTCTGAGGCTCAATATTGTTATGATTTTTATGCTGAAAGTGAGTAATTAAGGTGTTCGTTTCAGCCACTAAATTTATTTACATGTATTAAGATTTAAAGCAAGAAAAGAGCACGATTTTTGTGAAAATTTACCTTGCTTGGGTTGTGTTTTTCAGAGGTTATTTTCATAACGTAAATTAATTACCATGACAGTAGCATGGTGCACCTCCAGTCAATAGTCTTTGCTGAGAGAATTTGAAACATGGTGCTAATGGACGAGCCAGTGATCCTCCTACTACTGAAAATAAAACATAATCTCATAATGTGAATGTGAATATATTTTTAACTAAACAACAACGCAAGTAATAAGTTACCTGGACTGCAAGGTTCTGTGAAAAACCTGGCAAATAAAGAGAGTCGTCCTCCTCAAAGTATAAGAATTTTTAAACTAAACAACGGCATGTTTGTTTACAAATAAATCTACTCAAAATGAGTATTTTTGTTATGGTTAATTTTTAAAAAGGTATGAGTAGATGTTAGTGTGATTTGAATTTATATTAAAATAATATTTATAAATAAAATAATTAAAATTGATTTGATGTAAAAGTAGGAGAAAGGTGATGTAAAGTGATAGTTAAAATTGTGTGAATGGAAGAATAATGAATTTAAGTTGATATGATTGATTTGTATTATTAATTACATTGAAAAGTGATAATATTAAGAATAGTGGAGCTGAGCTAAAGTTAGAACTAGATTTTGAGAATTGATTGAATGTGAATGAAATATTTAACTTGAACTCGAAAAGAAAGTTCCTGCCAATTTTTGTGTATATATTTTCAGACTAAACACAACTAGTAAAAACAGACCAAACAAAACTCATATTCGCAATAACACAAAACATTTAATTTTCACGAAAAGAAACTTACAATAACTTACAATAACAGATACATATTAAATTTTGTTTGGAATCTATAAATGCACATTTGTGCATACAAAGATAGACAATATTAGAAACAAAAAATGGAAATTCTGATCACATATGTTTTCAGTTGAGAACACACTAGTAGTCCTTCGGTGTGGACTCGTAAAATTCATCTGCTCAGCATGTTAAACACAAAAAAATGGATCATATCATTATCTAAAAATCAACAAAAAATACAAAAAACTATTTGACTTACCAGCATCAGATACAGTGCAAGGATTCCAGAAGCTACGGATGTTTCAAATACTAGGATTTTCCGTCCACATTTCTCCTTCGCAGCATCAACCCATGCCTGGAACACCCAAGATTGAAAACATTTATTATCATATTGCATAGCCAAGATTCCACACACGTTTCAAATACTCTTGCACTCCGAGGCTGCCCTTTTCTCGGAGGTTGCTCTGCTCGTCCAGTAAGAAGAAATACAAATGTGTAAAGTGTGGCGCCCGTTTCCCTTCGGCTAATAGGCTCTCTGTGCATTGGGGGGAGGTCGCAGATCACAAAGCTATAAAAAGCATAGACATCGCTGCTTGTGTGGAAACTACTTTATGACCTTAGATGGCAAATATTTCACACATGAAGCATTGCCGTTTCGTGTTTCCGACTCCCCCATCAAGCTTCAGTTGTTCCTTTCCCGGGTGTACCTACAGTACGGAGGATAATATTAAGGTCATGCGAGCTCACTGCAAAGATATTTTAAACCATTAGAAAATTCGGTGCCTTGGAAATGGTTGCCCATTTTGTGGCAACTTCACATGAGGATTTGTCGACACAGGGGAAGAGGCCACCCTTGAGATGGCGCTGAGTTTTTTATGAGATACTAGGCTAATATTTTCTGTAAATCTTTTACTTTGTTGGCGATAATTTTCTGACCGGCTCGGTAGCCAATTTTTGCAAGGGTGTAGATCATGACCCAATATTAAAGATCTGAATATTCCTCATATGTGCCTTTAATGCTGTTTGCTGCAATGTGTTCAACAACAACAACATACCCAGTATATTCCCAACAGGTTAGGGTCTGGGGGGTCAGTTGTACGTAGACTTTACCCTTGTAATTATACAAGGAGGCTGTTTCTGTAGCGACCCAAGGTGCATTGCGCCGTTTGATATATATTTTTTTTTTCTAGAAACTTCACTAATAGAAGAAGCACTAAAATTTAATCTGCTGCAATGTGTTCATGGAAAACTTTTTCAAGGAAATTTGATGGTCTGTCATGTTCTTTTCTGCAAAAAGTTGTTCGTTTTTGTGCATTAAAGCATGAACTAGTTCACAGTCCAGTCATATATATGTGCTATTTGCTATGTACAGGTGAAATCTTTTGCATAGTTTGTTACTACTGGATATGTTGTTGACTCTCTTGTGCACTCTATGGCTGGTGTCTTATGTTTTTTTGTGCTCCTGAAATTGAATTTTGTCCGCGATGGTTGAAAAGTATTATTATTATTATTATTCTTATTATTTATTTATTTATTTTTTGGCATTGTGATAAATATTACATTTGTATTTTGGTATTTGCGGCATATTTCGATGGACATGGAAACGGAGGATTTTTTATTTTGATTCTGAACTGATACTAAATTTATTAAGAATCATTTTGTTTTCTGGTACGTTTATAAAAAATATTTCTATGATCGTAGATGAAGCCGTATCATGGGTCGTAGGAGTCATTTGTATGGTCGATCGACTTCATGATGAAATAAGTCAGACAACTTATAGCATATAGAACGTGTAATGCCTCGTTGATTTTTATATAAAATTCATGGCTTTTCCAAAAATCATAGTAAAAAATTCGAAACTCATTTTTCGATTTCAAAACATTTTCGGCATTAGTCATTCATTTCATAAAATAGCTCAAGTTGTGTCTGAACTATCAAGGATTTATTACTTGGTTTTCACAAGAATTTCATTATCCAACAGTACAATCATGATCATCACATCATAGGCATGACAACATAATAAGCCACTCATCGGGTTTCATAACATGAAAATTAAACCAACTCATCGGGTTTTAAAAACAATCCATCCTGCCCAAAACATCATCTAAATTTTCAAAACATCATTGTTTGAAAATAAATAACAAATTCAACATAATAGTACGGAATTAAATATAATCATAAATGTCGACTGCCCACTCGTCTCTTCGTCGCCATGACTGCCACCTACTCAACCTGGAAGGGGGGAGTCATGGGAGTGAGCACAACCACTTGTTATTACTAGCACATAAATCAAATATATATGACAGATAGGTATAGTCGCAACATGAACATGAATCAATCAACATATCACATCTCCTAATCATATAATACTCATGTGAACATCTATCATTAGGCCATTGAAGGTCATACAACATCCAACAATAGGAGTACATGCCGAAGGCCCTACATCCCCTATCGACACGAACTTTCATTAGGACTTAGGGAGACTGCCTTTCATAGGCACCATTGAAGGTCATACAACATCCAACGATGGGATAACCGTTTCGACGACCGAAACAGCTCACATTGACAGGTTACATTGTTAACACGCATACATTGATCATACCGTCCAGCAAAATATAGATAATTTACGGCATAGATATTTAAATAAACCCACCTGGATAAATAAAGTAGGAAAATGCTCAAACAGCGGAGTAGGTTGAGAGTTGAATCAATATATTTTCATCAATATTTTATCTTGATATAAGGAAATCATTAGAGAAATCACAATTAATAAAAAATAACGATTAAGAGATTTTATCGGAATTTTTGTGGACTTGGAACTCTCAAAATTTTGAAAAATAAGTCTCAGAGAAAAAAAAATGGAGTCTCGGGACTTAATATAATATTTCCAAATTTTTCTCATTTGTAAATAATTTTTAAAAATTGAGATCGGTACGAAAAATTAGCTTCCAGAACTCAAATTTGGTTGAAAAATCGAACTGGGCCGCGCTGGTCACTGTCCCAATTGGCCTGCCGCAGATATGGGCTGCTCATACGCGAAAGTGGGCTTCAAAGGTGTTTTGTTACCCGCTTGGAGATGAGCGGGCTGGGAACCGGGCTCGCGGGCCGGAGAAAGATGCCAGAGTTCGGGCTGAGTGCGGGCTTATGGAGGGCCCGACGCGGGCTAAAGCGCAGGTGAGGCTTCGGCCCGTACGCAGGCTGTGGCGGCCCGCGCGTCCTCCTGCTGGGCTGAACGTGAATGGGCCGCTGGGAATATTGTGATGGGCCTAGCAATATGGCTTCTGGACTGGGAATTAAAGAACCAAAATGTTGGCTGCTGGGCAACTTCATAGGCCGTGAAAATAATTGGGCCGCGACAAATAAAAAAACAGAACAGGCTATGGCTGGAAAACAGAGAGCTGCCTTGGAAAATCGAGCAGAAACTAGGAACAGAAAAATGAAATGAACAGGGGCGGGAACTTTTACCGAGCTGTGACAAAAATTCGACCGAACTCACGACGATATATCCAACGACACCCGGGGTTGGAGAAATGAATAGATTTTCGAAAATTACAATTTATCAGAGCTCGAAATTCTTATAAAAATCGGGTTTTCGGGCCAAAAAACTACATACCGACTCGGACGAAACATAAATTCGAACAATAAAACTACGGCTCGAGAATTAATAACGAGACTCCGAAATCAAACGAAAATCACAGCAACAACACCAAGGATACTCGATTTAACGAAGTCCAGAGTTCCAATCATTTCCACAATATTTCACGAAACACAATCCGACGAACAAAACGAATATACGAACGGATAAATAAACCAAACTATTAAAGAGAAATTGATTCGACGAGCGAATAAATCCAACCGCATGATATACGAGCGCCAAAATATAACAAGGAGGTTCGAAAAAGATTACCAGTCTTCGGGAATCTACGAGCTATCTGAAAATGGGTCGGACAAACGGGCGAACGGAACTCGAAACTCTGAACACGGGAATGCTTACGAACGGTCTGACCAAGGACAGAGACTCAACAGTGATTTAAAATCGACGATGACCGACCTGCTTGGAACAAGGAAACGCCGGCGAACAGGGTTGCCAGAATAATGGCGGACGGGGCTGCTAAGCCCGACGATCGGAACGAACGGACGTCAACTGCTTGCGAGGGAAGTGAATGTTCGCGAGATGGGCGCCGGAACACAGAGTCTCTCCGGACTGGTGGTGGTCGCCGGAGATGGAGATGCGAACAGAATTTCAGGCGGCGGTCGATTCTTCCCCTTTTTTTTTTTAACGAAAGAGCAGGCTGATGAGAGTACCATATAGAACGATTCTCTGCGAAAGAGAAGCTATGCCTGAGTCATATGTAGACGTTTCAGATAACGTGCGATCGAGGGAAGAGATTTCAGGAACAGAAAACAAAAAATGGCGACGGGAAAGAAGGCTCGGTCAATACACGTGGAGGAAAAAGAAATAGAAAGGCTGCAGGTCCACTCCATTTGGGCCACAATTAAAAATGGGCCCAAAAAAAATTATATTCTAAAGGGCCAAGAAGGTTTTAATCAATTGGGGCCCAAAAGTTTAAACATTTGGGCTGGAATTAAATGGTAGAAGGGCCGGAAATAATTATCCGAAATGGACCGAAAAATATTTCCAATAAATTGGGTTGATTATCAAACTTAAGACTCGCTCTGAAAATGTCTTGGATACGATTTGAGAAAAATCGAAAGATATCAATTTAACAACTATTGACGAATAACATAAATAGAATTTAGCCACTTATTAAATTAATTAGAAAACATCTAATTAAATAATAATATGTCTAAACGGAAAAATGTCGAGCAATTACTGGAATAATATAAAATACGATAAATAAATAATCCAAAAAAATTCATAATTCAAACGGGACACTACAGTACGACTTGTATCTAATAGCTTCACATGGATAGAAATGCATTTGCTAGGTTATGTTATTTGCTAGAGAATGTTGGTGGTCTAACATTCACTAGGAATGTCTGTGTAAGTGAACAACATGCGATCTTCCTAAGTGTTTTTGATATAGCGAGGTATACGAATGAGAATAAGATGAATAAAATTCACAAGATTTCTTGATATTTCTGCATTGGCCGATCGACCAAAGAGAAAGAAGAACAATATATAAAGTCCCAAGTCTCCTAACATACTTATCTTGCCTAAGAAGCAATGCCAGATATTTATTTACTTACCCAATCCTTATAATATAAAAAATTAAAGAAAGAATAATAAAAGGATCAATAATAATAAGAAATCTCCCTCTATCTTATAAACAGCTTGAGCCCTTTGTTTGCCGACACGTGGCAGAGCTGAAAGGCTCCCACTTGAATGAAACGACGATGCCGTTTTTAAAGGTGTTATGCTAACTGCTTCTTTTCCTAAACTACAACATTAGAGCATCTCTAATGGACTGTTAATTGTGGAATTGTAGAAGTGGTACGATAAAAAACTTTTCCAGCAGTCCTTTTTGTACTTCTATTGGTGGTGAAGTGGCATGAGAGAGACAAATTAATTATAGAAGTCTTTCTACATGTGAAAGTACTTCTAGATTTGATGACTCACTTTTTTCACTTTATTTAATTCTTTTATCTTTAACTAAAATATATAAATATACTAAGAAAAAGGCTTAAACTGCCAACGCACGGATAATTTTTGCAGGAACTAGAGAATTGGGAAAGAGGAAAAATTTATGCAATGATTATTTTATTTGCTAAAATATGTATCTAGTATATGCAAAAATATTAACTAAAATTGAAGAAAATTTTCAATGTATAATATAA